ATTTTGAAAATAATATTGAAGCAATGTGCTCATTCCCTTACCTGAGAAAGGTAAATGGAAAGAAGAGACAAGATGTCGATATAAGTTCAGGTAATATACATTGAAAGGATTACATACTCAGGTGAATTAACTTCAAAAGAATTTTGGATTTTAAAATTGCAATTTTTACATTTAATATTTTAATTATCCACTGGAACAATTTATTAACTTGAATTTATATCGTTATTAACACGTACATAATATAGTTCGAATAGCAGTATTAATAAAACAAATACTCATCATTAAAGGAGGGCCTAGACGACATACACTAATAAGTTGGTGATAACTGATCAGATTAGATAAGAAAAATCCCCTTGATATGTGGTCCGTTCTCATCCTTTCCAGCTTTTATAGGAAAAAAAAAAGAAAAACAAGAACAGTTGCCACCAAATCGAACAGATTTGCTATTTGAACCAAAAAATAGTTCGTGTAGTTTAATGCATTTAAAAAGAAAAAAAAATGTATTCCCTCCCCCGTTCCCGCTATCATATCAACCAGTGAATTTCCATGATGAATTGTTTGCTGTTCAACAAGTGCAAACAAGTTGTACCCGTAGACAAAATGATAAAGTGATGTAAAGAAAAAAAAAACCTCAAGATAAATCTCTCTAATAAGAGAAGAAAGCAAAAGAGTAGAAAAAGGTGTAAAAAGAAATCAAGCTTACATATATTGAGATTTTGTTAATTGAAATAAATGTTGATACTCGAAATATTATCACACATAAAAGAAAAAAAAATGCTAAACTTTATCGATGGAAAATTAGAAAATCCCCACAATGGAAGTGTAGGAACAAATCCAAGCTTCTTCTAGATCAGATCAGAAAAACTTACCGTACCAGAACGCTCGGGCAATCTCTAATATCTTTTGGTAACAATGTTATCTTATCGATAGCTGTATTTGATACAGTAATCGCAGTGTAAGAAACTTGAACTGTTCATGAAACAACATTTCCATGAATTGAAACAATATCAATCTCAATCCTTGTCAATTCATTATAATTTGCATCCGATCATTACCGTACCCATTACTGTGAGTAGAAAAAAGAGAAAGGGACATTCCAGCAAGATGTAAATAATGCGTAATGCCCGCAATAAGTGGTATTTTAATTTACCGCGGATATATTCATGTCTAGCTTTGATTGGTAGACAAAAATTGGCTTAAATACAAATGATTAAATAAGCAATAAATTTGCAAAACAATGAATTTTCCCATTTAATCTTTTTGTATTCATTGTGTTGGGAATGAACTTTACTTTATCTTTTGCTGTAAAAATATTTTCATTGGAACATCACTTTGCTAAAAATATTAATTAACAGGCTTCATTGTGCAAAATATCATTGTGCAATGAGTAATTAATCAAAGATTTTTTTTTTCTACCACAAAGATTATCAGTTGTTAAGAACTTTTAAATTCTTTTAAATGATAAAGGAGAAAATGACAAATGCACGTTTATTGTGAGAAAGACACGTTAGTGTAAGATAATTTGGCTAACTGAAACAAAACATTTTCCAATGATGGTAACATTATATCTTTTATTGTACTACTAGCTGCAGATAGTATTACCTATCAATGGAATCAAAAAAAAAAAAGTCGAAACTTATGAGTACCGGATGATTCTTAATGTGAGTAGGAGTATTGAATAACATTTGAAAGTTAACAATGAGCTGATAATTATTCGACCAAAGTTGATTTATAAAGCGTGATAAGTGATAAAAATCACACCAACCCTTTTAGACTTCCATTCAAAGAATCTACTGCACATATATTGTCGATATCAGCTGAGAGCGAATCACAAGCCGAAAAGGATGTACCTGAAATAAATTTGATCAATTATTAGCCAATTTTCCTTCTCACACATCTGGTCAAAAGTATACACTTTTCAACTGATATCTATTCCGTAATGTTACGGAAACTTTTTATTGAACAAAGTTAATTACGTAACTTTTACCTTTATGAATGTTTCATTTGGCAAGTAAAGTTGTTTCATAAAAATTATAGTAAGTGGTAAATGCACTTACCACAAGTGGAATATTTATGATATGTTCCTAAATTGACCGGTGAATTAGGAGGTGAAGTGTAACACTGATCACGATTGCCTATCATCTCTTGATAATAATTGATCGCTTGTCCCCATCGTTCTGATCTGCAACGTATTTCTTATATGGGATTGTCACATTGTATTTGATTTAGAGAAAACAGTTCACATAAAAATGGAATAATTTAAGGTTTATAATATGCGCACTAAAATAAAGCAAAAAAAAACAAAATTCAGAACGGTCGAAAAAAAAATTCGGTCAACCCTTTTTTTTCCTTTTTAAATGTGTCAATCCATTTAAGGTATACGATTTAAGAAAATTAAGAAATACTTTCCCTAATCCGAATTGAATCTAACTTAAACAATTAGTTGAATCATCTTTAATTAGTTGAATTATACTTAGTGAAAACTAGTGATGCAAATAACGAGAGATATTATCTTCGAAAATTACTTAATTTGCTTTATTTACATATCATATTTTCGGTCATTTGCATTTACGCATACAATAATTTCCATATTTTATATCGATATAATAAATGGAAGATTGAATAAATTATTGAAAGTAAACAATATTAGGTATATATGAGGAAGCCAACTAATCTTATGGAAACTATTCGTACACTTCAATTGATTTACATAAAAACGATCAATATTGTAATCTGTAGATGAGGCACAATTTGACAGAAACTACATCCGAATCAGAATGCTAAATGATAAGAAATAAGTATTTAACTTCTATAAAAACATCAAAAAGAGAGGATATTCATCGGAATACTTATTTGTTAAAAATAAAAATTTTAATTGGAACATTCAAGTCAGTTGAAAATGCCTTTTTATCAGATTTTACGGTATTATACGGTAGTTGCATGTGATAGATACATATCGTAGCTATTCTTTTATTAGGTTATACGGTAGCTCGCTAAATAATATTGAGCAGTTATTTGTTGCAAAAGGTATAAAAATTTGAGATTTAGATTATCGAAATCTTTTTTTTACTTTCAACTGTTTTTTTTCACCTAGAAAAACTTCATCTTTAGTAAAAAAAAGATAAGAAATGTTAAAGAAAATTGTGTAAGAAATTGAAATTTATAATGTAAATACATCAGTGAGTATCTGAGAATTCATTTAAAATCATTGATAGATATTCACCAAAAAAAAAAACTTGCAGTAATGACATTGAAAATGATTGATACGATTTTTAGATACGATTTCAAGTATGAAAGAAATAAAATTCGAATCACTGTTAATGATTGTTATTGTGAAAACAAAAGCAATCAATCTTTATCATATATCAAATCACTGCATATTGATTAGAAAGACAAGAATGATCACACTATTAGGAAGTAAGTGAAGAAATTAATAACATTTGCAGGAAAATGATAAATTGATAAGTAAAACGTAAAGAAGTGAAGAAGTGGGTAAGACTTGTGGAAATATGATATGCTGATAGATAAAAAGTGTAGGATGGTGTAAAAAAATTTTTAAGAAAGATGAAATGATAAACGAGGATTCCATAGAAGGATAGTTGATGATCAGAAAAAAGCAAAAAGCGGAGCAGCAAACCAAAAGATCTGGGACAGTATGAGAGATCTCGGGTCTTTTTTTCTCAAGTCATTTCGAAAAATCTTCAGCCTAAATCAATTAACCCAAAGGATATTATATCTTTAAACGACAAAATCCTAACCCATTATAAAATATAAACTAAAAGCTCATAAAAAGAAAATTCCATTTATTTTCATTTCATTTGCATTAATTCGCTCAAAATTCATTAATCTTTTTAGCAAATACTCCAAAGCATATAAAGCTCCAATGAAAATAACGCCACCAAAACAGAAAGAATGGAAAAAATGTCTTTCATTTCACTGTCACCATAATGAGACAACTCTGATAATAGTATATTGTTATTATATTTTGCTGGCAAATATAAAAGCATATATGCTAGTAATAATGTTATCTTTTAATTTTGTCACCCACTAAAAAAACAAAAAGAAAAAAAAAGTACTGGAAAGAAAAAGAAATTACTTACTCTTGTCGGCGATATAAAGGTGAAGATTTGAGGCAATCAGCTAACACATTAGCACTACAACGGGAATTAGGCAGGGAATTCTCACAACAATCGCTATACAACGGGTATGGCATTGTCCGAGATTTCGTGATACTCTTTTGATTGCTGAAAATAATGAAAGAATAAATCAAGAAATTAGTAGACAAAATTAGTGCTCTCATCTTAGATCAATCAAATCATTCCATATCACTATAACCAAGTTTATGATAAGAATAAGGCTTGCTCAACTGATCATTACGTACTTCATTAGAAGCGTCAGAATTTTAAAAATTTTTTAAAAATAAACAGATAAGAGTGCAAAGACCACCTAGTTATTCAAGTCTAGCACTAACGAACGGATAAGAGAACTAATGAATTACTGCTAATCTATTAACTTATAACTTCAAAAAAAAAAGTATAACGGATAAAAACGAATAAAATTTGCTCGTAAATAGAAATCGTTTGTAAATGAATTCAATATTTCGTATCCTAGCAGCAGTTTTATTAATGTAATATTATTCATACAATTTAATTAAAACAAATATTATTTTATCTTTCATAAATCAAAAAAGTTTTAAGAAAGAAAGAGTAAAGAGCAATAAATAAATTTGTTACTCACAAACATAAACAAAATAAGAATTAAATTTGAATTATAAATGAAACGAGAAAGAATATGAGTGAGGAAAAAGTGCAAATCTAAATATTTCCTTCTCACATTCCTCTTTTTTCTTTCACTGACACTTCAAGGAACATGTTTTTCTTTTCTTTTTTCTTGGCTTTTTGCAAATTTAAAATTAGAGGAATAAAGCTATCAAGAAAAGCAGACAAATGTTAGAACAAAAAAAAAATCAAATTTAAATTATCTATTGATATACAACTACTCGTTGTCTCCTTATCTTATCATAACTACTCCGAAATTTCGAATTTCCCGATGCCATTCTTCTATCAATCACTGGTAATTTTTGAGTAATTTTCGTATCAAAACTCCTTCTCTGCAATATGTAGCACAACAAATGTAGACAGGAAAAACAAAACGGTATGTGACAGATGCTGAATTATTATTCGACAGATGCTGAATTATTATTCCAACAGATGTTATATATTTCGAAGTACATTTTAACCTTTGATAATAATATCCAAATTTACAGAGGTTATCCTCGTTCATCGTCTCTTTTCTTTTGTCACGACTAAAAGCAATGAGAAGATATAAGATAAAATGTGTCAAAAAAATTTTGGTTAATATGAAAAAAAAAACGCTATCAAACTACTCTAATGGGCATAATAAATAAGCATTAGGAATTGGTTGAGAACAACCGGGAAAAAAGTTTTTTGTATTTTTTTGACATGGTTTTCTTTGAGTTAGGAATAAAAGTGTCTATGATTCAAATCAAAAATACCTGCTAGAAAATTAAATTACAACTACAGAGAAATACAATGAGACTACGCACTTTTGCATTACATTCATATTTTAATTTTTCCTATTAATTTTATGATGACTGTAAATGATGATAAAGGATGACGAGGATGTTTTCATATCCGGATATCTCAATTTCCATGTTACCTACAAATTTTATATCAAACTATGATGTATGCCAACTCTATCAACTACATTCTATCTGAGTTCAAACGACTGTAATGGAGAAAAATCCCTCGAACCTCTTGATTGACATTTATCTAGCCTGAATTCTGAAATAAGAAGCATACATAAACTGCTTTAAACACTTTTTTTTTCAGCGCTATATGTGGTGATGAACATTATCATTCGTCACATATGTCTAAGAATGATATGAAGGACAGACTTTTAGCGACTAGTAGTAGAAGGAATAAAACGCTTGCTACGTATCATACTTGTCACATTTTGCATAGAGCCATATTAATCCATTAGAAAATTAATAAAAGAAAATGTACAACCGTGATGATGCACAGTAGTTTGAAGGAATGATAGTAGAAAAATTGGATGGTAGTTTTGATATCTCTGTGAACAAAACTATCTAACAAATTGATCGATTACTATCAGCTGGTAATTTTTTCCTGTTTGTTTCATCCCACATAAACATTACAAAGTTTAGATTTAAACAAAAATAAATTTTGTTAGAAAATGCCATCATAAAGCATAAATAAAACTGATTTAAATAATGATTTTGAAGAAGGAAAGAAGAAAAAATGAAACTTACAACGGCATAGAACGACGTCGATTATGGCATGATATGTAAAAATCACCAAAGTATGATAACCTGCTTTCACAGTCTTCCACTGACACACTGGAAATTTTTGGTTGCATTGAAGGATCAATAGCCATTTTACTTTGATATACTTTGCATTTACAGTTAATTTCAGCAAAACATGCAACGGAATTGATTTTTCATAGCAATCACTGAAAAATAAAAAATCAATAGAGAAATAATATTAATGATACTTTCAATCGCTGACACGGTTTAAAAAGAGGTCAAAAAAAGGGTTTAAAAAGGTCGAATCAAAAGTGGAACAGGAATGAACAAGTCAAAAATTAAAATGTCACTTTGGAAGACATCGTACCATTTCGATTGAACTGTAAAAGCGTAAATTTTTATCACTGTGTATTTTTTCGGGATTCAGAGATAACTTAAAGCCAATGATAACATATGTAAATATACCGTATAAATCAGTACGCAAATATATCATATCAATCCATACGTAAATATACTGACCCTCCATCAATCGATTGTATATTAATCAATACGCAAATATATCATATCAAT